AAACCCACCAATCAGAGTGTTCTTAGCCTAATTACAGGGCGGGGCAAGGCTTTATAAGCCTTCCCCCGCCCTGCGGAGCTCAGTCTGCGCGGAGCCCTCCATGGGTGAAGATGGATAATTTTTTCGCATTTCGAGGGTTTTTATTGGCGAGGGTTTTCGAGGTTTTTATTTTATTTTCAATTCGACGGTTATGATGGTTTTTTATTTGGCCTTTTTTGGGGCTGAAAAAAGAAGATTTGAGAGAAAAGAAGACGTCGAATGGTAAGTTTAATTTTATTTTACAGGTTAGTTATTTTATCCCCCCCTCACTATTTTTTAGGGTGAGGGGGGTAGGTAGGGACTTGTTTTTTTTTGGGTGGGGGTGGGTGACTAGGGGCTTGGGGACCCCTAGTCACCTTGGGGGGGGGGTAATTGACTTAGGGCCCCCACCCGCCGCCCAGGGGTGGGAGCCGGGGGGGGAGGACAGTAGGTCCCCCCCCCTCATTATCTTCATGGCCCCCACCCGCCGCCCAGGGGTGGGGGCCGGGGGGGGCAGTAGGTCCCCCCCCCATTCTCAATATGGCCCCCACCCGCCGCCCAGGGGTGGGGGCCGGGGGGGGGCAGTAGGTCCCCCCCATTCTCATTATGGCCCCCACCCGCCGCCCAGGGGTGGGGGCCGGGGGGGGCAGTAGGTCCCCCCCATTCTCATTATGGCCCCCACCCGCCGCCCAGGGGTGGGGGCCGGGGGGGGCAGTAGGTCCCCCCCCTCATTCTCACTATGGCCCCCACCCGCCGCCCAGGGGTGGGGGCGGGGGGTAGGACAGTAGGTCCCCCCCCCATTCTCATTATGGCCCCCCCCCCTCATTCTCACTGTTTAGGGGTGGGGGCCAATAGTTGTTTTTTTTTGTTGTTGTTTTTTTACAGTGAGCAGCCACAGGCTGCTCACTGTTTAGTGGACATGCCCCTACTCGCGGTATAGCGAGTAGGGGCATTTGGGAGATTTTTATCTCCCTTGTGCTATTATGGGGGTCATATTGACCCCCATAGAGTGAGAGGGGGACCTGGGGGGCTTATGAAGTGGTGGGGAGCACTGCTCCCTGCCGCTTCTATAGTTACATATTACAAGGAGGGAGCTGCACGCCGGTAGCTCCCTCCTTGTAATAAACTGCACGAACAAACTAACACTGATACTCAGATACACTGATACACAGTGTTAGTTTGTTCGGCTGATCTTTCTATTCATTCATTCATCTGTCTGATGAATGAGTGAATAGATGAAATTCCTGTTCGCATGTCCAGGTGTTTCACTGGGCATGTGCGGGAATCTCACAGTCTGTCTAGTGTGGGCTGATGACGTGTCCCACAGGGACTTCACCTACCCACACAAAGATGGCTGCGCCCTGAATATAGATCGGGGCAGAAAATAAGGATTAAAAAATAGGTAATGTGGGGGGCTTAGAGGCATTTGGGGGTGACTAGTGGGTCAATTGGATGTAGTGGAGGCGGGAGGGGGGTTAAAAAAAAAACAGAATTCGGCATGACAGTGCCGCTTTAAGATTAAGTGGTCTGAATGCCTATAGGGTCCCTTTAAGTAGTGATGTTCCTATAATCTTGGGTTGTCACAGATACAACATTCACCCTTTAATGATACGTGAATTAAACCTCTTACCACAACTCTCTCCCGGCACTCTAAATCAAACAACCAGTTCAGGATGGACAAGTTTAACACTTAAAATGCAGAGGTTTATCATTGCTTTGCGTTATCCATCACACTTAATAAAAAGTTGAGATACTATACAGGATATTGCCACGGTGCTAAATTTATTTCTAGAGCATCTACGAACTCTTTTGAAATCACATTCTACTGTCCATTGTGATACGGATGGAAATGTAAAATATGTAAATAAGATTTATTTTATGAATATTAAAGTCCCCTTTGGTTTTAGCTCAAATGTGCAATTGAGTTTTATTTACTATTCACAGTGATTTTGTAATAAATTGTTAGCAAGCTGCTACAAATAATATTGGACATTGGAGCAAAATAAGAATGCAACCTTGCCTTGCGATTGCTTCTGGAGTGCTGACACTCCTAAACACAACCTGTGCTTAAATGAACAAGTGCTTGCTGTATTTATTTTTTCTCTCACATTAGTTGTTACTGCTCCCAGTTGTAGACATTTTATTTGGTTCATATCTCCCCCTGACACAGCAAATTTCCTGCGTATTTTTTATTTACTATTCCCGATTCAACATATTTTCATATTTTAATTTGATGGTCATCCTGCCAATTTATTCCAAAATTATTTATTATTATTACCATTTATATAATTTATATAGCAGCAACAGATTCCGTAGTGCTTTACAATATTATGAGAGGAGGGAATTTAACTATAAATAGGACAATTACAAGAAAACTTACAGGACCAATAGGTTGAAGAGGACTCT